CCCCCCCCCCCCCCCCCCCGGTAAAATTTTAGGCCATTGGCCAAATTTAAAAAAATAAATTTTAAACTATAAATGCCCCGTAATTTTTTTTTAAATACACACACAATATACTCTCATTCTCTTTAAAATTCATTTAAAAAATATTTACTTTTTTAAATTCTCTATACAAACCACCTTAAAAATGAGATCTTTGAACTAACGATAGATTTGATTGAATATATTTTAATTTTTTTGCCATTCAAGTAATTTTTAAGCCTTTCTTATTTTAATGTAATTTTTTTATTTAATGTATTTTATATTTAATATATTTTTCATTTAATGAATTATTATCATTTAAATTTAATTAAATAGTCAAATACTATTAATTTAATTTTATGAAATGTGTATTAAACATTTTAAAAAATGTCTAAAGCTTCAATTTGAAGTCTCAAATCTTCAAACTCATTTTTAGTAATATGTGATGTAAGTTAAAGCTATGAAACCCAAGACTTCATGACTACTTTTAGTGCTCTGATTGTCACGGATGTTGTTCTACTTCGGAAAATAAAAAATTCTTTTAAGAGCATCACTAATGAGAGAGAATATGAAGGGAAATAGTCTATGTGGCAAGGAGGAATGGTTAGAGAGCGTAGGGGAAAATGAGGAGGACGTGGTGTGAATGGAAATACAGAGTAATATGCATCTAGAGAGAAAAAATTTAATCGGGTGTAAAATTAAACATTAAATTTGATTGATTGAAAATAAAATAAGGGATATGCTAGGGGTACACCAAATGTGTACCCTAAATATACACCACTCCGCTTTCTACCATTCATTTTATTTTATTTTTATTTTTCTTTTTTTTTTTTGAATTTTTTTGCTTTTTTTTGTGGTGATGGAGGGGGTGGGGGATGTTTGGGGTACACTTTTGGTGTACCCCTAGCATTTTCCTAGCATTTTCCTATAAAAAATGTGGCATTAACAAATTGTAATGTGGAGAAACCATTGGTGATAGCTCTAATAAGACATGAGATTAGTATAGTTGGTTCGCCCATTATTAAAATGGCCCAAGAAAACTATGCAGTCTAAGGGGCTGTTTGGCAACTTCTGAATAGGTAAGTGCTGAACCAGTAAGAGGTCTGAACCATTAAGTGCTGAATCAATAAGAAGTCTGAACCATTAAGAGCTAGTATATTGCTTAACTATTCAGAGGCAAATGTCTGATCAATTCAGATAAGAGGTCTTAACCATTCATACTCTGTATAAAACTTAACCATTCAGAGGCAAATCTCTTAACCATTCAGACATCTGAACCATTAAGAGGCTGAAACAAACAGTCTGAACCATTAAGTGCTGAACCATTAAGACATCTGAACCATTAAGAGGCTGAAACAAACAGCCCTAAGAGGTATTTTTTCATGAATCAAAGTTCGCTAACACTGTTTCATTTGTGGAATTCTTGGTTCTTTAGAAATCTAAAAATGGGGTTTCCCCTTTTCCTCGCCCAATTATATTCTTTCCCATTGCATTTCTTCTTTTAACTTTTCTTTTCCTTTCCTCTGTATCCGTACAAAATAAATGTTCCCTTTCATTTTCTTTTCCATTAGGGTTCATTTGGTTCACAGAATTAACGAATATAGAATTAAATTTGGAATTAAAAGTTTATAAAATTGGAATACTAAATCCACATATTTTGTACTGCCAAGCAACAAATTTAGAATTTTTGTCTCCAATTGGAATTCCATAGTTTGGATTTCGTATCCCAAGAGGAGCTGTGAAAATAAGAACAAAATTACACAACCATGACACCCAAAAAAAACTAAACCGAACACAGAGTTGAAATACATGTTGAATAGTTCATAGCAAAAACTCTTCAATCAGGTCCATGTTTTTCACATGAACACAAACTTTCTTGCCTTTCTAGAGCCAACCACAACAGTTAAATATTCAGTAACCCTACCATTATGCAAACACATCATTCCATCACACCAAAGCTTCATGAATCATTAATGAAGTAAACTGTGAGAAATCCCAAATCAAATTCCTAATCTTTTCCAAAGAAACACTTCAAAAAGGGCACAACTAAGGAGCCAAATTTGAGCTTTTATTCAAAGATATCAAGGCAATGGCACATATTGTTCATCACAAACAAACCATTAATAAAAATCATAGTAACAAAGAACAAATCTTAAGAGCAGTTGACAATCCCTTGAGAACAATTTCATTGGTAGTATACCTCAATGGGACATAATCCTGGGATTGATTGTCTTGTTGAACCACGTCTTCCAGATGCTTCTTGAGCTCTTCGGAGCCGTTTGATTCGCCCCATCGCCCGCTCTCTCCTGCTGAGGCTTCTTCGACAGCACAAAGTTTCTAACCCCAAGTGATCCGATCGGGTCCCATGGATTGAGAGCTTCAGTCGCAGCATTAGGCGAATAGAGAACGAAGTTATTGAAATCAGATCCGAGAACCGGAAGCCTCCCCTCCCGAGCATAGTACTTCAGAGCCGTAACAATCACCGCAGCCACAGGATCATCTTCCTTCATCACAAACCGGATCGGACCGGCGCTCCCCAGAACGGTGATGCTAACCAGAAGCCGGCGGTTCCCGGCGGCCTTCCCGGCCTGATTCTTCTTCGGCTTGTAAATCAACATATCCGAAAACTTGGTGTAGAATAAATATATAGATTTGAATCGAGAGAGAAGGGGAAATTCGAAAAAAAAACAAAAGAATTCGGGAGATCGGGAGGGAAACGAAGAGAGATTTCGAAACCGGAGGGATTTGTCTAAGGATCGACGCCGATGCAGCGGAAGTACCAGCCTTCCTTGCAGGATCCGAAGGAGAAAGAAGAAGAAGCGGAGATCCCCCTTCTGGACAGGGGGGAAATCATCAACAGATTGATCAGAGGTTCCACCATTCACGAACGCGACGCAGAGAAAAAAAAAGGAGAAAGAAAACGCAGAGAGACTCAAGATGAACACGGGACCTCTCTGGGCTTATATATACGAAGAAGAAGAAGAAGAAGAAGAAGAAAAAGAAGAAGAAGAAAAAGAAAAAGGGTTAATTCGAGAACGTTTTGGGTGGGGGGGGAGGGGATGCTAATCTTGCGGTCTAGGGTTTGTCGGGAGGAATTGGGGAATATCCATCTACTAGTAGAACAAATGAGGCGTTTGGTTAGTGGGCTGGGTCGGTTTGACCCGGACCCACCGTTTGCTTGTTCGCCAGCCTCTTTGGCAATTTGAGTTTAAGTCCTTTTTGGTACACTTTTCTTTTAATGCGGAGTACGTCGCGTGCAATTATTTTTGGACTTTCTTTTTTTTAAATTCTAAATTTTGAGGAATACTACTTTCACAAACATAATGATCACAAACTAGCTATTCAGTGTCACATGTACATTAGAGTAGGGGTCTAATTCCCCCCTGCTACTTCTTGGGTTTAAAGTAAAAAATATTTTTTTACACTTATATAATTTATGATTCCAATTAAAAATAGTAGGGACCCCAATTAAAGGTGTTAAATATGTAAAAAAGAGAAATGTGACAAGTTTAAGTATTAAAAGAATATAATCATACAATAAAATATTTAAAAATGTCAAAAATAAAGTGTAACATGAAAAACTAATATTTTATTACTATTAAACTCAGTAATAATGTAGTCTATAAATTATATTTCGTTAGACTTTTTTCATGTACTATTTGAATAATTATGACAAATTAAATTTATTTTTTTTTACTATTATAAATTGCATATATATATAAAAAATTCCGGGTGTTGCCCCTGAGCCCGTGTTATTTTGATAATCGAGCCCCCAACAACTGTGTTTCCTGGATCCGCCACTGTAACTATTTATGGTTTAAATTCTCATTTAAACTTATTTTAGACCATTTAATTTTTTTTTACTAAAGTTCATAAATAGTAAGTTTGTGAAGTTTGTGACGATTGTGTTTGTGAACCAAACATTTTCCCTAAATTTTTACATTCCTTAGAGCATGCGAAACTTTTGAAGCTCAATAGTCGTCACGCCAGTTTTAACTTACTTCATAGTTTTATACGAAATAAGTTTGAAGTGTCGAGGCTTTAAATCTTTATCTTTTATATTTTTTAAAACACATTTTGTAAAACTAAAATTATAAAAGTTCATTAAATTATTAAATTTAAACAACAATAATTCATTAAATAAAAAAATTACATTTAATAAAGAAATACATTAATAAAAAACTAAGAAATATTATATTTGGTCTTGATCTCTTTTTGTCTTCTCTCGTAAAACATATGTTTTAAGCCCGTTAATGTATCAATGTCGGTTTTCATTCTTTCGGTCTCTTCCAGTCTTCCTTCTCTTGCATTTGTTTGTCCCTCTCTTCTTTCCTAATATTGAACACTCACCCTCCGTTTGGATGGAGTGAAAACACAATTTACGATGCATTTTCTCCTGCTTGGTTGCAATAGAAAATTGAGGGAGGAAAGAAAAAGAGTGAGGAGGGAAGATGAAAATTTTTCTTCTCCTCCTAGGCGAGAAAACTCCATGTTGGGGAGAAAATTAATTAAATTACACATTTACCCTTTAACCCTAATCAATCATTGGTGCCTTCTCTATTCTTCACAGTCCAAAGTTGTCTTTTTTCATTTTATTGTATTTTCCTTTCTCCCACTTTTGCTCTCATTTTCTACACATTCAAACAACAAATATTTTCTTTCACTTTTCTCTTCATTTTCTCTTCTCTTTATTTTCTTTCCTTTCATTTTCTTTCCTTTCATTTTCTCTCCCCATCCAAACAAAGGCTCAAAGTTATTCAACCATTGCCCGACCGATATCGTCGTGAGAAGAAACAAAGCCAGACCCTGTCGAACCCGAGGCAATGGATTTTGCCTTTTTCCTTTCGATCGGCCGTGGAATAGAGTCCTCCTCGTAAGAGTCATCTAGGTTGAAGGGTGACCTTTGTTCTGATGAGCCGATAGTGTCATCAGCCTTAATCTTGGCGGAGGATCTTTTCTTTTACGATTTGGCCTCGGGGGTTGTTGAGTTGTTGTCATTTGGGTGAACGGATTAAAATTGTCCAAATATCGACATGGACCTTGTCTCAGTGTACGTCGTCTTGATACCGGGGGACGAAAGGAGTCTAAATGGACATAAGTAGCGATATACTCCGAACGCACTCATATTCCTCTGTCGATGGACATACACAATGCAACGATGATCACATGCAGGATATTGGGATCTTTTGATTTTTTTCTTGATTGTAAGCTCTTCCCCCTCATCGAGGAATTGCATCAATTGTTTCAACGAAAAATATGACCGTTGAAGAATTACATCCACTCATGAAGAAATTGCCTCACAAGGATTATCCTGCAGTGGTGGACAATTCTTTATTTTGCAGGTGTTTAAATGTTCAGGATGTTCGAAAAAAATAATATTCTATTTAGTATAAACTGAATCTAACTTATACTCTCTTCCTCCCTAAGTTAAAATTTATCTTCAATTTATGAGTTCACACAAAAAAGTGTTTAGAGTAAAACATTGTTTATTACAGTATACTTTGTTTTTAAAAAATATTGTTATTTACATACTCCCTCCGTTTCTAAATAAATTATAAATTGTAGGTTATGAAGTAAAATTTCTTACTTTTTGAAATCATTTTATTTTCAAATTGGTATATCGATCAGATATAAAAATTAAATATTAAAAAACTACGTCAAAAATTCTGCAAAACAAGAGGTGACAAAAATACTTTATTATATCAAATATTTAATGAAATCGCGTAAACAAACAAAAGTTATTGAGAGGAGAGAAAAAAATTGTAATCTATTTAGAGAGAGTATTCTTTTTTTAAAAGAAATAAAAAAAAGTGACTTTAATGGCATCAAAAATTAAAAGTGACTTTAATCTCTACCTACTTTATTTTCCTTGTAACACCCCAACCCGCATGACCCAAACCCGTGAGACAGCGGACCGGTGTGTCACTGAATTGGTATCCGAATTTGCGACATTTTCAAAACAATTTTAAACAAACGTTCTATCAATACATATAAAAATTCATCGGAGTAATTTAAAATAATGCGGAAGCCTTTTTAAAGTCAAACAACTTGGGATCTTGCCCGAAAACGTAATAAGCATTAAAGTTAATTAAATAAAGCATATCAGCAGATTAAAGAGACAGCCACGCCATCATACATCTCCTCCTCAATGCCTTCTGGGATCGGCTCTAGGTTCATCTGTCTGATCACCTACGGATAGCAAAAAGAAAAACAACGCTATCCGCTCAGCATTGACGCTGAGTGGTACTCCATTGTAGCACAAGAATAAACATAATAATTCAACAATTAAGATCGTGCATATGTTTATCCTTTTAATAAAAATCAATTCAACTTTACATTCGGTTCTTTAGACGGTTGACCAACAGTCAACTTATTTTCTTTCTTTTCAAAACGATTTAGGTGTTACGGGTTTCCATTTAACTCTTTGACCACCGGTCAAACCAATTTAGACTTTCACCGAAGTCAAACCAATTTAACATTTAT